TTTTATCAAACACCTAGTGTGCATAGAGGTTCATCTCTAGCCTTAGCTAAGAAATTAGCCTCTAATGCTCATATTAATCAACATACAATATTGAAATGTAATGGAACATGAAATTACAAAGGAAATAATACCTAAACACCAATGGTTTCGGAGGTTGAAGTTTCCTCCTCAAGAACTTGAAGAACAATATATAGCAAAAACAAAGTATGAAAACTAGGAATTAAAGTATGGAATGGAATGTTATTGCTTGATGAATTGAGGGCTTTATATAGGCTAAATAATGGCATCTTTGAGTCTATTTGATCAAGAGATGAGGAAGGTGAAGTTTTCCCATAAAAAATCCTCTTGCACGTTGCTGTGTTTTGGCAGAAAATCGTCCCAACCGGCCCTGGTCAGTCTAGAACCGGCCCCGGTTGCAAACAGGCTCGTTTAGTGCGAAAATACCTTCCGACCGGCGCCGGTTCTTGGCTGACCGGCGCCGGTTGCAGTGCCCAAAAATGTACTTCGTCTTTCTTCCTCCGAAATGGATCAAAAAGTGTCGGTTTTTGTACCGGGATTTTGGGAATGTTCCGCTATGAATTTGGACATGATTCCTTCACCAAAGTTGTAGATAATGAAGTCTTCTATCCACCAAAACTTGAATGACGTGATTTTATTCAACCAATCAAACGTTATGGATAAAACACTGAGAGATATGCATCCTGAAATCCCACCAGCAACATCTGACTTTGTTGGTTGATTGAGTCTTGTTCCTTTCATATTTTGGCCATGACGTCTGCATAACATTTGTACCTTATTGAGTTAAAAATCACATGAAATTCGAATCGAGTGATTTCGAGTTCTCTACAATACGTTATACTCAAATTATGGGCAGAACGTCATCCTCTTGATCTAAAAAACCGTTCATCACAATGTTTTATGCCTTAGCTCTCATTCTGAAGGTATTTGTCCGATTTCTCTTCTTTTCTTCAATAAATACTTATAAATACTTATGTTAAACACAATTAAATATAACGGCTATCACGCTCTAAGGACGTTTTTGGTCCTGGACAACTACCAAACTGTCAAAACAACTGACCATCCCTATTTGATTCAATTCATCAGCAAAACACAGTTCACCGAAGACACTAGGACAGAATTGCCAATGATGGTGTACGACTTCCAGCCATTTGACATGCTACACACTCAAAGGGTCGTCAACCACAAAAAATTGATTGGTGAGAATAACCAAAAACTTTTAAGTTTTAATTTGTAGAAATAAATATCTTATGCTGGAATTTTGTTATAGATGTCATAGGGAAGGTCATATGTAAGAGCGGCGTTCAAAATCAAATCTTAAGCGGAAGAACCGAAAGGATGATGGAGTTAACATTAGGAGACCCTGAGTGAGTTTTGTTTAAACATTCCCATACCAAGTAAAATCTGATGTAATGCTAAGCCGTGTTTAGTGTAGTATGATGCACGTATTTGAAGCTAGATATGTAAAAGATGTCAAGTGTTTTGTTTTTTGCAAATTCTGTGTCGTGTAAAATCGGATGTAATGCTAAGGCGTGTTTAGTGTTGTATGATTAGTGTACTATGCAGGTGCAATGCTGAATGTTGTATGCTTATGCATTTGTGGAAGAAAAAGAAGAAGAATGTTTTGATTTATATATGCATTTCACAAAACTTTTAGTACATGTTATAATGTAAACTTAAACTATAAACTATAAACTTAAACTATATAAACAAAATCTAGGAACCAAATTGATTCAGGTTCTCAAACACATTTCATGAGTAGATTGTCATAAGATGAAATGCATGTGACCATGATGAAGGATATTTGTCATCTGGTGTGATTAAATTTTCAGGCCAACAAACTGCTAGACCGCACAGTTTCGAAGGCCACTTTAGGGCTGGCAGGGAATCTGGCAGTCCTGCAGGATGGGCCATTAAAACCAGTAACCAAAATGACCAACTTTCCTCAAAGTTTATAAAATCAAGGTAAGCAAATGAATAAACATCTTACATGTTTTAAAATAAAAGTGATTATAAATTTGGTTTACAAGTATTCAAGCCTTCCACCGGTTGAAGTTAATAACATGCGATTTTGCTTTTGATAATAGCTCTTTGATGAAGAAGATCACCAAAAGCACAAGAATCAACCGTAAAAGAAGTCTTCAAGACTTGATAAACAAAGATAGTTTTCAATTCAAAAATGTGTTGTTCAGTTTGATCGAAATAATATAGCTATGTATGAACTGGGTTACATTATTATCACAAAATAATTTCCGAGCTACAGGCTTTGAAAGTTCATATTTTGTAAGACCAGATAATATGAACTTCACAGTTTGTAAACAACTTTGAAAAAATACAATGTTGATTTACAAATTGTATACATATATATCTTGGGAAAATGGAAACTAATAATTCAACCTTTTAACGGTCTTCTTATAATAATCCAACCTTTTGGCTATTCATGAATAATCCAATCTTTGCACCTCATCTTCATTCACTGGTCCCTGACCGGTTGATGACTTGCTATTCCAAGCTATTTTCTTATCTTTGCAAATCATTATACCATAAATCTCATCTTTCACAAAGATAATATTTTGCAAAGATAAGAAAATAACTTGGAATAGTAGGTCATTAACCGACCAGGGACCAATGAATGAAGATGAAGTGCAAAGGTTGGATTATTCATGAATAATCAAAAGGTGGGATTATTGAAAGAAGACCGCTAAAAGGTTGGATTATTAGTTTCCATTTTCCCTATATATCTTTTATTATACTCAAACACCCTGTAGCTTAGTAGTAGAGAATTAAAAATTTCAAGATCCGTCAGTCCATATGCGAGTGTTGTTTATGAAAACTCATAGCAGTCAGTGTAATTATGAATCTGTAAAGGTTCTGCCTAGGCAAGTCCAAGACAAAAATAATAAATCTGAAATGGTAGAAATAAAAATTACAGCAAACACAACGAAGTGAACGGTTTTTGAGATCATTTCCTTACAATCACTCAGCGTTTGTATAAATTTATCAACATAAATGTATGTCAAATGCCACTATGAACTTATAACAATAAAAGGGACGAAATGAGGCTGCAGATCTGAGATCCTTTCAAAAAGATCACTCAGTCTTTATGGCGGCCATCTATTCCGAAACATATATGCATAAAGAGGATATGAAACTCCAATTTCAAATTCAACATTGTCCAGAACACATACCAGCCAAAAAACAACATAGAATAAAAAAATCAGGGTTTTGAAATTGTGCAGATCTGTTTCATTAAAGTTGGAACCGCAAACAGATTCCGAAATGAAGTCTCAGATCATTTAAAAAAACATAACAAAAAAGCTTTCACATGTAGGGCGTAATCTCAACAAATTCACAGATTCACATATATTTGAAATCTGGACCTGGGCATTCGTAACCAAACATGGTAGCTTAAATATGCGTAGAAATAAATATACATGTTTGAAAAATGAATAAATCTTATATTCGTTTTCATTTCTACTTCAAATCGAAGAAATATTTCGAAAATAAGTCAGCTGAGATCCAAAAACTTAGAATAATTCATGCGTTAAGACTAAAACCTAATTAAACATAGCATTAGGTTAAAGATCAAGAGCGGTCAAGTATGAGAAAAACACCACAAAGAATCCAACGAAGGTCTGAGATTATGAGTTATCACTCAGCCTTAGTAGATGTACCAGTGGTGTATGTGGGAAAGACGAACATAAAGCCTACCCCCTTAACGATGTGAACCGATCAGTCAGGTTGCCATAAAAATATACAAACAAAGGACATTGGAAGTAAAATACTGAAGAAAAGGGAGGTAGATGAAGCATTAACGGCGAAGCAGCCCATCAGAAGAATCGATGGTTTCTTGGGGCGGCCGAAGGATAAGGGTTATAACCGAAGGGTAATATGGTTATGGTTTGGGTAAAGGGGTTAATATAGTGTTGACTGGGTAGGGCGGGCTAGGCAACTGGGTTAGATTTTTGGGTAGGTTTAATTTCAATTAGGTTGAGTTGTTGGGCCGGATTAGGTATTAGTTATATCAATAGATTCTTTTTTGTGTTGGGCTGGGTTTAACTTTAATTGTTATTTGGACCAGGCTCGAAATTGTATACATATTATTATATATTGTTATTGTTATTCATTATTAATATTGATATATAATTCGAAAATAAATTGTGATATTTTGTTATAGTAAGGGTTTGAAAAGAGTGAATTGCTATGAAGATGGGCAACAAACCTCTTACGTGATGACTATAAATAAGAGCCATGGACAATCTTTGACTCATGTCGGCCTTTTATTGAAAAAGTCGGTGTTTACACATGGTCAACTCTATGTTGCAGTGTCAAGGGTAACAAATCCTAAGGGTTTGAAGATATTAACATGCGGTGAAGATGACCAACCAACAAAACCATACCACCAATGTTGTTTATAAAGAAGTTTTTTCGCAATGTGTAGATTGTGAAACTCTATATAACATTTCTTTTTATATTCTTATTCCAAGGCACCCTTACTTCCTATATTTGAGTTTTGGATCTTTAATTATAATTTATTATGCACATTACGTCTAACACAATTTGCAAACATTTCACACGACGAGCAATGTTTACAAATAATATCATATCACTATTACATTTTTATATCTCGCGCATCGCGCAGGTGAGAAACTAGTATTGACAAATCACAAATGACAATCCAATTTCATACACAGTAACATTATACCTCACTTGGTATCGATGTCCGTTTATTTATTTTAATGGAATAAAAAATCATTGAACACATAATTATTTTGTTTCACACAACTTACTTTCTAATGATCTAAACAAATAAAGTTAAAATTATTTTTTCGATTAATTAACTCAAATTAAAATCATTTTAACTATTTTTCATAATTTCAACAAATTCCACCATTCATAAATTCACAAATCAATTAATCAATGCATTCAAAAGCTTTACTTATATGTACTGACTACTGAGTACCTGGCCCTAATCATCGTAGGATTTTAATAGTGAACATTGCAATCATCTTTTTTACTGCCTACCAACTTGACTTCCTTCACGGTAGAAGTCCGGCTAAATGAACGAGAAGTTGAACGAAGGTTGACGATACCCCGTCCCGATGACAGCAAGGCCAGACGGCAACAAAGACCAGCAGAAAAACCCATGAAGAAATGACTCCCCAATATAAATTCATTCCATTTCGAATTGTCCGCCGGAAGAGCAAATATTCTCTTTCACGTGATCATTGAAAAGAATAATCATAAACAGCTCAAAACCCCCTAAAAAAGTTTTGATTCGATCTCCATCTTCTTCACCTTCCGGCGGCCAAAACCCCATTTTTCTCTGGAAACCTCCCAAGCCACCATGAAGTCTTCCAGATGGAGGTCAGGGGTTGTTTGGCTGGTTCTAATTTTGTCATTATTTAGTAATAATTGCGCCTCCGGAGCACAGAGATCTCAATCGTCGAAAGAAGCTTACGTGACGCTCCTCTACGGTGACGAGTTCCTGCTCGGAGTTCGAGTTCTCGGCAAGTCTATCCGGGATACTGGAACCACCAAGGACATGGTTGCTTTGGTCTCAGATGGTGTTTCCAGCTACGCCAAACAGCTCCTTCAGGTACTTTTCTTGAGTTTAATCAACAAAAAGCTGCTGTCTTTGCTATTATTCTTTATGCTCTGAATCATATATTTATTTATTATCTATGATAATCTTCTAATGTGTTAAGTGATTAGTTAAGAACATTACTACTCCGTAGTATTTCAAAACACTACTAGAAAGTGCCCAAGATAGTTAATTTTGCAACACTGCAAAGATTACAGTTAAACCAGAAGCTAAACTTGGTTCAGTCTCTCATTGGGTTTGCTAACTTGACATTTGATTATCGTGTTGATGTGTAAAAATCATGTCTTTATCCCAATTTGACTAAACTGGTAGGAGGCAGCAGTTGACTCAGCATATCATGCACCCTCAAAATTACTTGTGTAGTTGCATTGTTTTTTGTTGGTGAGTGGTTTAGGATGATTTTGTGGTTTCTATGCAGGCTGATGGGTGGATTGTTGAAGAAATTAGTTTATTGGCAAACCCAAATCAAGTGAGACCGACCAGGTTTTGGGGCGTCTATACGAAACTGAAAATCTTCAATATGACTAATTACAAGAAAGGTGATTTGATATCCTACTAATTCAATTTATTTGGTTTCCTACTAAGCTCTTATTAAGTCAAGACGTTGATTGTTGTGAACTTGATAATTTCACACACTATATTATTGGTTATTTATTTGCATATGTAAAAGATGATTGTAAAATGTATATTTGTATAGAAATACTCCACCTGTTTCCAAATAAATCTCACTTTGGAAAGAAAAATATGTTTCAAAATATTCGTCACATTTCATTTTTTTTAGATGAATAAAATACTTTCTTCCAACTTTTCCCTTCTCTTAGTGGTTGTGATAAATCTTATATACTGTTTTTGAAAGGGTAATGTGGTCATTTTATACACATAATTATACCCTGGGACTGAGTATTTTTCTGGTTGGACATTGAAAAATGTGGACTGAAGGGTTGTGTTTCACCTAACCCTTTTGGCTGTTGTGGCAGTGGTGTATCTTGATGCTGATACAATAGTTGTGAAGAGCATTGAAGACTTATTTAAGTGTGAAAAGTTTTGTGCAAACTTGAAGCACTCTGAAAGGCTGAATTCTGGAGTCATGGTTGTTGAGCCATCTGAAGAACTTTTTAAGGATATGATTAGCAAGGTTACCACTTTACATTCTTACACTGGAGGTATGCCCCATATACAAATTGACACAATTAAATTGCGCTGTAATCTTTTTCCTCTTCAATTTTGATGCATTCCTGGATCTTATGAGTTTTGACACAATATACTTGGATGGTTTCTTGTTATCTAATAGTTTTGAGATGCTACCTTTTCATTATACATGTCATCTTTTAGCTATCATGAAATGAAGTTTGGTCATTCCTTTACTTCTTTAGCTCTACTTCCCTTTTCAGTACATATGGACTTCCATCATCATTAACATCAGTACCTTCATACCAACTATGTGTCAGTGGCATCAAATTTGTACTGTCTATCAATTTAGTGAAGGGAAATTACCTTAAATAGGACTAAAAACCTTTGTATATTCCAAAATAGGACTGTCATGTACTCATGTTATTCCCAAAATAGGACTAATTAGTAATTACTGCCATGTTTTGATAATATCAGACTTTAAACACGGCGGTATTTTTCAAATTTGGCAGTATTTACTCCTATTTTGCGAATAAAAACATGGCAGTCCTATTTTGGAATTTTCAAACTTTTTTACTCCTATTTCGGGAATTTTTCCTTTAGTTAATTCATTTAACTCTATATACCCAAAAGTGACCCTGAACTTTCAACAAAATAACCTCTCACTTGACCTTACACTCTTCATACGTCTCATTTAGCTCGCAAATTAACTAAAGTAACATATTAATGACCATGCACTTTCAAAAAGTTATGATCTTGTGCATGCTGCATATGCTGACCTGTCAAACAAATAATGACTAGATATGTTAAGAAATGACAAGATCAGCTGCAACTGCAAAGATACTTGTTATACATTCAAACTTTTGATACAATTAGGGACGTTTTTTGGTTTTTAATGAGTTTCTTGATGCTTACAGGTGATCAAGGGTTTCTCAACTCCTACTATGCTGGGTTTCCTAATGCTCATCTGTTTGAGCCGAACTTACCACTAGATGTTTTAAAATCTAGGCCCCTTCCTAAAATGGAGAGACTTTCTACTCTTTACAATGCAGATGTTGGCCTATACATGCTTGCTAACAAGGTATTCTCTAGTTTTAAGTTTCTTCTTTCTCTGCCTTTGTGGTAGCTGTAATCTTTTTTTCTTAGTCAATGTAAGCCTTATAGGCTGGATATTATAGATCTAATTTCTGTTGCCTGTTACAAGTTGAAGTCTTACATGTGCATTTGGTTTTATATAATTATTTGGTGTGCTGATTTTTTCATAGACATATTTTTACTTTTACTGCTATGTGCAGTGGATGGTTGATGAGAAAGAGCTGCGTGTTATACATTACACACTTGGGCCACTCAAACCATGGGATTGGTGGACATCTTGGCTTGTGAAACCGGTTGATGTCTGGCAGGTGTTTCTTCTTGCTACTTTTCCTTTTCTTGTCCTTCATATTTGATACATTTTAAAATTTACTAAATGACTTAATGACTTTTAGCTTTTTAACAACCCGTTCAATCCAATTAACTCTAATAATTCGCTGATGCGGCAGAATGCCAGGGTGCAGCTTAAGGAAACTTTACCAGGAACCCAAGGAGGCAAAAATCCTAAAGATGATTTTTTTGTCAAATTGCTTTGCCTGTTTCCGTTATTTCTTGTACTTTTCTGCTTCTACCGGTCATATTTACAGGTAAGTGTGATATGCCTTCTTTTGAAAATGTCCAGTCAACAATCTTATTAAACTGTCTACATGAAAAAACACTTTTTTTCCTCAGACGCGCTCACTTTATGATCATATGAAACATATATACTACAAGTTCAGAGCAGGAGGTATCCTTCCTTATTCTTCAGTTCCTCCATCCATCATCAGCTCCAACCAACAGGTTCATCTTCTTATCAAGTCTTGGGAGCATGATAAGATTGATTAACATTATACTCTTTTCTCTCTTTTTCTACAATCACATAGACCCGAGAAATACCTGAGGGTCTCATTGGATCCCAACAAGTACTTGAAAAAGAAAACAGGAAGGAAATTGTAGAAGAAAATTTGAAGGGAACAAAACGTGGGGGGAAGTAAGGGTAGGCTAAAATTCAATAAATTTATTTTAGATATAGTTGTTGGTACTCAGTTAATTTTTTAATGTCGACTGTCTATATACTATATAGACTTAAATCTATATTCTATATATGTGTAAAAGTAAAAAGTAAACAAATAAGCAAACTATCATACCCCCACTATTTTATTGGTTGATCCTTTAGTCTTTTCACGGTTTTTAGGAAGTATGGGGGTAGTGAATAGTAGGAGAAGGTAGATAAAAGGGTTGACAAAGTAAAAGAAAGAAATGAAAAGTAAGAGTATATATATCTTGATATAATTATATTTTCCAGATGTGGGAAGTGATCAACTATTTAAAAAGGAATTCGAAACAAATAATAATAAGGGAATATATCATTTCCTTTTTGCGTTTTCAAATGTAAAACCAGAACATAAGAAAAAACTTCGGAAAACTGTCAAATAGGCCCCCGTAGTATATGAAAAAAGTCAATTAAGCCCTTGAACTAAAAGACACTACATTAAGTCCTCCAACTTTAGAAAAAAAGTCAAATTAGAATTAAGCAGGTGAAGATCCAGTTACCCGGTTATAATGCTGATGTGGCTATCCACGTGTTTTTTTAACATTTTTTTATTTTTCTTTTTATTTTTCCTTTTTTTTTTTTCCATTTCAGTCGCCCTGCTTCTTCTTCTCCCTTTCTTTCTTCATTTCATTTTTTAAAGTCTGAAAATTAGTCGGCCAAGCACGAGCCCTGTGGCGTCATAGGTGTAGAAGTGTAGAACACAGACACTGGAATTTTGAGCTCATTGGCCAAGCTGCCATCCATGGCCAAGCACAGCGGTGCCAGATGTGTAGAAGATGTTTGCCGGAATTTCGAGCTCATCGACCAAGATTCCTTCCTTTCCTGTGGTGGAGAAGATGTACGTTGGAATTTCGAACTCGTAAGCTAAGCCTCCATCATCACCGGAGGTGTATAAACATACGCCAGACTTTTGAGCTTGTCCTCGCTGCCGTGGCCGCCTTCCCGAGCTAATTCCCGTCATTGCAGATGAAGACCGGCAAGAACGAGGTCATATTAGCCCGCAGGAAGCTGAACTTATCTGCCGCCAAGCCACCTCTTCGAGTCTTCGCCGGAGTTTCTAACTTAAACAATCACGAATGAAAATAATGAACCACAACGGGGTAGCTAGAAGATTAAACAAAAGGGGAGAAGTGAGGGCGGGAGAAAGAAAGCAAAAATCCAAGAAAGAAGAAATGTAGGTACAGGAGGGTTGTGGAGAAGGAAGAAAAAACAAGAAGAAAGAGGGATGGTGTGGAAGTAAAAAAGAAAGAAAAGAAAGAAAAAGACAAAATAAAAAAAAATCCAGATGGATAGCCACATCAGCCATGTGACCGGGGGTAACATGATATTTACCGTCTAAATTCTAAATTTGATGGTTTTTCTAAAGTTTGTGGGTTTTAGTTTGAGGGTTTAATTGACTTTTTTAATATACTACGAGGGCTTATTTGACAGTTTTCCCAAAAAACTTTCATGAGTTGTTTTCCTTTACATAGTATTTTCCAGGATCCAAACATACCCTAATTGATATGCCTATTGGACTAAATTTAGCAAGTTGTTGGTTTTCTTGGAGTGCCGAGTTAGTGAGTTACCCACTCATGAGCAAACATACAATTTTTGCATATGCATTTAGGATGCTAAACATCTTTCATTTTGAATTCATTCCCTCTGACAAAAAATAGTAAGAGTCTGTTTGGCTCTCCAAAAATGTTAGGAAAAAAAGTGTGTTGTGTAAAGCAGATTTTTATGGTTAACTTTATACCTTGGTAAATGCAAAAGAAAAATCAAATATGATAATAGTTTTTCATATTTTTGTGCTTCGTAGAATTTATGTATTAGAAGTAAATAAATAATGAGTTTGAACAAATAACTAAATTAAATTTATTCAGTTTCAGGTATCCTGTCTTTCCTCCCAAGTTCTTTCCTTTCAAAATTTCATGAAACTTTCCTTTCCAGATTTCCCTGCTATTTTCCTGGTACCAAAGGGACCTTAGAACATACTGACATGACCTTGTGATAAATGCAGTTAACAGATGGTACACAGTTTAAGGTGCCTTCTTATGTATGTGGGTTGTCAATCTTTGTCTGTTTTGGTGCTGCTTTGCTGTCCCTTGGGCTCTCTCTCCTAATCATCCCCCGCCAAATAATGCCCTGGACTGGTCTCATCCTAATGTATGAGTGGACATTCACGCTTTTCTTCCTCTTCTTTGGAAGTTACTTGAATGTAGTCCGGCAATGGGGAAAGCTGATGGGAAATCAAGTGGGCAGTTCTCGATCTGAGTCATTGGCATATGATTCAGCAAAAGGTTGGTTGGCTGACTAGACTCTCACCAAGCCATGTACTTTTGTCTAAATCTAATTTGTGGGTACCATTTATATACCTTTATTTATATATTATTGATTTATTTGTTGTTCTTTTTCAGTTCATCAGCGGCAGCAGTCATGTTGTGACATGGCTGCATGGAACTATGGTTTAGGAATGGCTTTTCTTGCCATTGCAACCCCATCACTGCCTTGTCTTTTTGGGGTCACTTCACTGTTTTTGAGGTGACCTACTTGACCATTTATCTCTTTATTTATTCATCACTAGTTTAGTTTATTCCCTTTGCTTAAAATTAAAAGGGGTGTTAGCCAACTTTTTCCCCATAATAATTTTCTTACCAAATTTGTCCATATGAGATATACACTTCTTACATTAAATGCTTTTGTATCATGAAAGATGTAAGAAATTTCATGTTAAACTTTTAAGGGGGGTCTTGCAATGTTGTAAGTATGTGTGAAGTTTTCAAAAACATCAATTAATTTGGGATGGAGGGAATATAAATAATATGTGCAAAAGGATGTAATTTGAAACTTTGAACAACTAGGCAAGAGGCAAACACCTCTCATCAATTTTTTGACAAGAGGTAACTCTCAAGACTAGAACTTGTGACCTATTCATATAGCAACATTTTGACTGTGTGCCAAGGCTCCCATTTGGTTAGTATTAAATTGATAAACTGTGGTTAAAGTAAGAATGAATAGTAACCACTCTAATATGGTATGAGAGAAACTTAGAGAATGGGCGAAAAGGGTAAGATGGGACCAGGGGCGGATCTAGGCTAAGGCCAGGGAGGGCCTAGGCCCACACTCAAAAAATTAAAAATTACTAGTATATATATTATGTATTTATTTATATATAGTGATTCAGTTAATATGGTATAATACTGCTAAAGTCAAATATTTAACACTTGTTACGTTGGCCTAATGGAAGTGAATTGAGCGTTTGGTGCACCATAAGGTCTGGAGTTCAAACCCTAGGTATTTAATTTTTTAGTGCAACACGTACTGATTTTTTTATTAGTATTTAAAATTTTCAACTTTCTTTCCAATATCTCTTTATTCCACATATCTATATACATTTGATCTTCATCAATTTATAAATTGGACTTTTGAATATTGATATGAAATATTAATCAGGTCAATTCATTGGGTTTTTGAATATTGGCCTGAAAAATTAATTAGTTCAATTCATTGTGCTTTAGAGTATTGGTTTGAGATTAGTTTAATTCATTTGACATTTGAATATTAGTCTTAAAAATTTATTAATTCAATTCATTGAACTTTTCAATATTGACTTGAAAAATTAATAAGTTCAATTCATTGTGCTTGGTGAGTGATATTTAATTAGTTTATTTTTTTTTAAAGAGACTATACTATAGAGTCAATAGAAAACTGGTTTTCGAGAAATTGACTTTAAAATTAGTATTGAACATTTCAGTAGCTGAGCCAATTTCGGTTCGGGTTATCTACGACTTTTAAAATAATTAAATTGTCCGTTCTGTAATATATTTTTTCTTTTTCATTTCTGTGATATTATTTAACTACTTTTTTTCATTTTGACATTTGTTTCAATATACGTTATTTAAATAAAATTTGGCCCACCCTCAACGCAAATGCTAGATCCGCCCCTGGATGGGACCAAGACAATGTATAGAGAGAGTGCATTTTTTGTAAAAACAGAATGTCTTTATAGCAATCCTAGAAATCTCTTGGGAAGGCATAATGTGTGTGTGTGTGTGTGTAAGTTCTGTATGATATGTTTGTGCAGGTTGGGTATGATGGTGGGAGCAGGAATTGTTCTAGCATCCTTCATGACATATGCTTCAGAGCACATGGCAATTAGATCATTCATGAAAGGCCTGGAAGAGAAAGACACGCATAGGAGTAGTAGTAGTAGTAGAAGCTTATGTTTCTTGTGCTGACTTTTTAATCATGTATATGTCAGCTAACCCATAAAACTTCCTTTTTTTAGTGTAGTTTGTTGTGTGTTCTACTGTATGGCAGAGATTGTATATCATCTTTGAATTTTTAGCTAATGTAAAAAAAAGAAAGAAGAAAATCTCTTTTTCTGTTGTGTTGAAGTGAAAATTGTGAGTAGTTGTTTGTCCCTAGGAAGGAGACGTGGACATGTACCTTTTATACTTCGTACATGTCTATTTCTTTTGGGAGTAAGGCTGAATGCGGTTGTCTATTTATTTATTGATGAAGCTCCACTTTGTGTATGTCAAACATGTTAAGAAAGCGAAATAACTTTACCGTTAAAAGCATTTAAGAAAAAGTAATCCAACTTCTAAAAAATAAATTTCTAAATTTTAGATCAATATAGTTTTAGCAGATCCCAAATTTTATTGGAGTAAAGCTTAGATGTTATTGTATACAACAGTGAATAAATAGGTACTCCGTATATTGAAACTTGTAGTGAAAAATATTAAAATATTCACATCTATTCACCCTTTGTGTGTTTACGCAGAGAAATGACATATCTCTGGTCCAATTTTCACATAATTATGCGTGTGTTTTTCATAAACACACGAATAGACACATGTGTGTGTCAATGTGTAATATAAGGAATAATTTTAATACTCTTAAGAATCCCTTTTATTTACTCTAGAAAAAAGAATCCCTTTTACTTTTTTACTCCAGGGGTGTTTGGGGGAAGGGAACTGGAGGGCCTGGAGTAATTTGAAACTCACTCCATTGAGTTTCGAACCTGAGACCTCCCGTAAGGGAGAGTGCCTAGACTGGACCACTTCCTCATATTTAAAATAGGTTGATCATCTGTTTAAATCTTTATGAAAAAATTGCATGCCTTAAGGCTTAAGTAAGAGAGAAAACAAAATGAATTTCTAAAATAGAAGCACTGCTTGAAAAAGAGTGCCATACTGGCATGCTTGAAAAATACTTTCACTCATGGCATTAGTGTTGTCATGTGTGATGATACCAAATATGATAACATAATTTCGGAATGTGATAAGTTATTCCTCTTTAGAAAAAATAGATTCCCTCCCTATCTATTTAATTGTCACACTTTCCATTTTTTATGTATCAAATTAATTGTCTCATTTCTTTTTTTTGGAAAGAATCTCACTCAAAAAGAAGCTATAGTACCATTACAGTATCGCTACAATACAAAAAACTTCTTACCTTTTATAAAGTCTAATAATTATCACTCCGTGAAAAGCAAATGGATCAATTAGATACGGAGGGAGTACTGTGTATTTCTTAATTCCCTATCTTTATAATTGATACTCCCTCCGTCCTGGAAAATTGTTCTCGGTTTCCTTTTTGGGCCGTCCCAAAAAATTGTTCCACTTTCCCCTTATGGAAAGTTTTTTGTGGCTACAATTCATTTACCTTTTTCTTACTCAAGCACAACAATACATTTCCACTTTATTCCAACTTTCTTAAACTCCGTTCCAAGTCAATGTGGGAACAATTTTCCGGGACAGAAGGAGTATATGGCTGATGGCTCACTAAGAAGATGAAAAGTACGCAATTTATGTTATTAAGTTAATACATGCGTTTTTGGTCAAACATGTGAAACGATCTGCGGACCGTGTGGCGCATATCCTTCAAAGGCTGCTGTTTCTATATCAGGTTGTAGAGATTTGTTTTACTTTCCTCTTGATTGTATTGTGAGTCAATTGTCAAACGATATGTTCTATTAATTTGAGTGGGTTTTGGTTGCCAAAAAAAGTTAATTCATGCGTTTTATTCAGTACTCCGTATAATATTTGTACAATTGTACTATGATCTGCTGATGCACATGTGCTTCCGACGACAACAAAATAGCTATATATCAAAAGTAGTAAATAATTTGATAAAATTTTGCATGCTTATATATATAGAGTTTGAGTCGTTTAAGGATTACCGCAACTTTATGTGAAAAACTCATTTTTGAATTTTTCACCCTACAAAAGCCATACACCAAGGTGTCAAAGTGGGTTTGGGCACCCGTGGAGTGGAAACTTAGGCTGCCCACAACCCTATGGGTGAAAAGCTCTCATTTTTGAGGTTTTGACCCTCCTAATATTGAGGTTTTGACTCTCGTTTTTGCTACAACCCATGTATATATATGGGTGTCAAATAGTGCTAGATAGCACAAATGGGTTGGGAATTGAGAGGCACATTCACGGAGAAGAAGGCTACTACACGGACAGATTACTATAACTTTTTTTACTTGTAATCCATTTTTTGTATAAATTATATCAATATTCATAATTTGTTATTATCTTTCATATGACACCAATATTATATATATATATATATATATATATATAGAATTTTAAAAATAAAATATGTGTTTTTATCAATTGGAGATTTTTATGTTCAATATTTTTGTTAAATTTCTAAAATTAAGACTTCATGGGATTTTTTTTACATCTTCGAGTTATTTATTTAGAAAATACATATAAATTATAAAAAAATTAAACTTCAAATTTATTTATTTTGACATCGAAATGTTTTACTTTTAAAATCATAATTATTTGCAAAAAAAAATTGAGGAAAAAATAATGTATAATAATAAAAACAAGGTTTTAATTAGGAAAAGTTTTGATGACTAAATATATTGACGGTGCTGAATTGTGGTGAAAAGTGAATTGACTGACTGAATACGTATAAACTAGTGGGAAATTTGATTTGTTGACGGAACAGGGTTGCAGTTAGCCTTATTCACTGAAGAGAAGACAAAGCTGGCAGCAGATCGCTTGGTAGCTTGTTGAGCATATGGAAAGGAAAGCACGAGCCCATATCAAATTAAAATTCCAATCTTTTAAAGGGGTTATAACTTTTTTTATTTGTCTTCCAATCTACAAAAAAACATACCAACATTTATAATTTTTTATTATATTTCATACTCACTCCGTCCCTTAAAACTTTGTCATCTTTCTTTTCTGGAACGTCCCAAAAAACTTTGTCACTTTCTCTTTTAATCAATTATTTTGTGGTTTCTGTTATTCCTTTCTCCTCTGTACAAACTTCAACCACACGGTTTTTACTTTATTATTCTTCGTGTCGATCAACTTTGGCAAAGTTTTAAGAGACGGAGGTCGTATGATACAATATTGCATTTAAAATTGAAAAATATGGGATTTCAAACTGCTCAAGATTTTTAGATCTAAGTTTTTGCTAAAATAGATTCAAGTTTCAAAATTAAGATATGATGATGATTAAGACTTTAAGGGTATGTTTGGTTCAAGGAATGTCAGATTACCATGGGAATGTCAGATTGCTGGGTATGTTAGATTGACAGGAATGTATTCAATTTATTTCCACTTGTGTTTGGTTAACATCAAGGGAATGTCAGATTGCTGGTTATGTTAAATTGATGAATTACTTTTATGCCCTTTAAATATCTTCTCTTAACGGAATAAATCTATTACATTATACATCTAAAGTGATTAAAATTAAAGAAAAAATGAATATCTTAATATTAAATAAAATCAAACCTAATTGAATTATTTTTAAGTAAAATATGTTTAATTGTAAAAAGTTGTAGATCCAATACAGAAATGAAAAAAAAACTTTGTTCAAATAGTAATATAAATATATTTATTATCATCTAAAAAAAATTAATATTTAAAAATGATCAAGTTAATCGTAAAAGTTGTTTTCAAAATGAAGAAAAATGACCAACTTTGCTATTAAATTTTGAAATCCACTAATCAAAACTTAAATAATCTATAACTCTTATAACATTAATACCTTAAAAAGTTAAAATGATAAGGAAAAAAATTATGCAAATAACGAGAATAGACATTCAAATATAATCAATACTCCGTCCGTCCCACCTAAAAGGTAGTACACAATTTACGATGTTCGACAGACCATGAAATTAAACTAACCGATCTCTATCAATAATAAGATTATTTTTAGTAAATAAATTTACATATTTAGAGACTACATTAAAAATTTTATAAGGCCACAATAAATCAAATTTGATAACAATTGAATATATAAAGAAATTAAATGAAAAGATATCATTAATTGAGGGTATTTTCGGAAGAAAATCAGATCACCCCGGGAATGTGAGATAACCTAAGGCATAGACGAGTTTAAGATTCCCATCCATATTACATTCCCGGGAATGTAACTTTCCCGATTTTTTTTCAAACCCATGAACCAAACAAGGGTATCTAACATTCCGTGCATCACATTCCGGCCTTCATGTGAGATCACCCCCAACCAAACGGACCCTAAGAGTTACCAAACAACCTCAGAACTTTCCCCCCCAAAAAAAACCTCAGAACTATATATGCTCAAAATATCTTTCCCTTTCATATACGTAGTATATTGTGAGGTATTCAAACTTGCCAACCACAATATGTCAAATAAGATTCTAAACCGACCACAAAACATCAAAAGTATTGATGCAAAAGTGTTGGATCGATTCACCCCTTGTCGACAAACTTCCCAGTGGGTCACCCATCCCTGGGCTTTCTTACCCCGGGCTCGCTTAACTCCAGAGTTCTGTGGTTAAATAGCAGCCATATCTTTCTTAAAACCAATTGGTGATAAGGAAGTGGACACCCTCTATTTAACTCATTACTCTGTAGTCCCCAAGTCAAGGTAGATTCCTGTGGGGCACCCCCCACAGTTCACTACGGCAGTGCAGAGCCCCACTACTGAGCGGTGGATGGACATGAGGGGCTGCACCAATTTGTGGTGCCAACAGGTTGGGCGATTAAGCCCTGAATCAAAGGGTGGTGCTGATCTCCCATAAGACCAACAATCACCCCCCCAGCACCAGCCGAGAGATTCACCTGTGACCTCGCTCTGATACCACTTGTTGGATCGATTCACCCCTTGTCGACAAACTTCCCAGTGGGTCACCCATCCCTGGGCTTTCTTACCCCGGGCTCGCTTAACTCCAGAGTTCTGTGGTTAAATAGCAGCCATATCTTTCTTAAAACCAATTGGTGATAAGGAAGTGGACACCCTCTATTTAACTCATTACTCTGTAGTCCCCAAGTCAAGGTAGATTCCTGTGGGGCACCCCCCACAGTTCACTACGGCAGTGCAGAGCCCCACTACTGAGCGGTGGATGGACATGAGGGGCTGCACCAATTTGTGGTGCCAACAGGTTGGGCGATTAAGCCCTGAATCAAAGGGTGGTGC